CTTTGGTGGTGTTGGATGGAAAAACAAACATATTTTGGAAGGCGTTTGAAGGTGTTTGGCTGACCAACTATTTGTTTGATGGTGTTGGATGAKTCRCCCAATAATGTTTGATGGTGTRCAATGAGCCTATTTATGGTAGCTGGACTATGGAAAACAGTAATACAKTTTTAAAGCAATTCTCTCATATTATCTGCGCATTAATGCACTAAATAGCACTTRTTTATATTACCCCAAATCGCACAAAAAGATGATCAAAAAAGACGATTGGAAAGGAGAGAACAGKAATCTCAATATGCACTGTAAACTTAACTAGAATACTTTATTCACTAGTTCCCGATCCATTGATAATATTTTGGTTTTCCATTTTTAATTATCAATATTATAAGTTTTTTTAGTACTTCCTCAATGGTAGATTCTGTGTTATCTTTGGAATAGCCATTCGCTTAAATATTAAAATGCAATGGATTTTGAAGTTTTGCGGTCCTTACAACACATCCCCCTAAACTTTCTACAAATTAATAAATTAATAAAATTTYATTGTATTTCTTTAGATCTGTTGATGGAATTGTCAAAGAGAAAAAGGACAAGAAAAAGAAGGGATTCTTTTAATTTTCTGTTAAATTTTATTATAAAATATCTAAGTGATCCTGGTCGTTCCTATYCTCAGGTCACGTTACTCTGATTGGATATGACTGACACCTGTCATTCGAGGCATCGGTTTTGCATGCATTTCAATCGATACACAGAAAGGTCCAGATCGGACTACAGAACGCAATCGTAAGCACAGCGAAGCACTTCTTACGACTGTTGTTGTTGATACGTTTCTGTCTCAAACACGTATGGTTTCCACTTTCAGCCAATCACATATGTCAATCTAGTGACGTTCTTGTGGTCAAGATCATCCACAATTGTGATTTTTTTCTGTGCGGTTTTATCGCGATTCTTTATATAATAGCCTCTAATCTTATGAGACGACACGTCWTAAAATCATTCAATAGTTTATGAAGCTGTTTTAAAAAGGAGAGCAATCGTTTTAGCAAGAATTTCCAGTAAAAAGTAGAAAAAATCGCGTCCTGGGTGAGCTCTCAAATGTTCAGCGACGCCATTTTTTGGAACAAAGCATGATGGTAGGCGTATCTCGCTCGTTTTGATGTTCTTCATGTTCTGAAATAATCTAATTTTATCAGCGTTTTCTTTTAAGAAACGACGCAAATAAAATTCTTAATTGCTTAAAACAAAACAGTCTACTTTAGTAGACATTGATACGTRCAAGGACTACGTTTCMTTGGATGCTTTGTTGTTGAAAATAGGGTCGTTGCACGTTGCGTAGCTTCCATCACACGAAGCTAAGAAAGYWTTCAGTCTTACATTGAACGTCAGTTGGTTCCTTAAAAAAATCAGTTTTACTTACTTAAAATATAATAAACAGTTCCAAATTTCAAAAGAATATATATCTGAGTCGTCTCAAAGTAAAAAAAAACTAGAGACGCAATTGAGTTTTCATTATATTCGTCTATTTACTTCGATATCACGAGTCACTTTGCGTAGAAAATTATTATAGAGAGATTCATCATAAACAACTCAGACYGGCCGATGTCCGCCTTTAATTAATTTATGTACAAAATTTAGGACATTTAACTATTAAATTATAATTTTTAATGTTTAAATTTGTCATTCATTATTGCTACGTATGTTGCTCTTGTTCAGCTGAATTTTGCAGCATGCAAACATGCGCTCTTTAGTGCGCTTACGCGCGCAATGAAAAAAAAATAAGTAAAGTACAGTTGCAAGATTTTTCCCTTTGAATATAAATTTCAAACCCTATATTTCCTTCATTAAAAATTTGCCCGATCGACACTCGAATATAAAAGTTTGAAAASAAATTAAGGAACAAGTAACACGATCTTGCTCCAAGAAAATTGAATAATAATTAAAAAAAGACATTGTCGCAACCCTGGGTGATTCCTTCTCTCAGTCTGTTGAGATTTTTTTCCAAAATGCACACAAAATCTTGTTTACTCGTATGAAATCCTCTGAAGTGATCTCACGTTTCAGGATTTTCCAAAAATAATAACGTTAATCTGAAAATTACAGCTGACAAAAACGTAAATTCTACTCGCAACTACTACATGCGCGCATGCAAGCCCCGTTTGCTGCCAAAATCTGCTGGTTTGCCTTTTGACTGGTATGTTGCAAAAATGATTTCAGCATCAGTCTTAAATATTATTTTCCTTTTTCGTCAATGGTCCGGCAACATCCCTAAAGTTACGCTTCTCTTTGAAGCGTGTGTACTTTGCCGTACAGACTCTGTTGACTGCTTGAAGCACAACTTACGATCTTTTTAACTGTTTTTCTAAACTCTCTGTTCATAGCTATGTAGACGAAAGGGTTATAGATGACCGACGCCTTGGCCATAAGTTCAGGGATCTCGGCTTCGCCACTGCTTATAATATACTCGTGTTTAATCATAGCTATTAAGCACACAACACAATATGGCGACCAACTGAGGACGAAAGCCAACACAGATGCAGCTATCATACGAACAACTTTTACTTGAGACTTTCTTCGACGAACGTGTAAAGCTGTTTGTCCTTTGAGCATGCTGTTTAATTCCAGTGACCTGAAAAATGAACCAAAATACGATTTCTTAGGMAGTTTTTTTTATATATTTAGACAACAGTTAGGCAGTTTTTTTATATATTTAGACTAAAGAACAAAAAACATCAATTTACAAGGAAGACAGCATTATTTTCTCCCATTTTCCGATCTTCTCKGTTTCCGCGCGCGCTTTTCAGAAATTGKTTTTTTGTAAAAAGSTAAAAGTTTCAAGAGTGTTATGCTCATTTTTATTTACTATTTTAATGGTATTTGTCTTCTACCTCCTCAAAATACAGACTCTTAGTTTTTTTCTTAACTATAGCTTTATGCCTTTTCCTGATTTTCAAAATATAACCCCTGGCTATCATTCAATGATGACCGTCGAACGAAARCAGGTGTCGCCGTGTCATGTGAGAAATAGGTCACGTTGTAATAACAGCTAAATAGCATTAAATCTCTGAGTTGGCTTTTTTAGGCTATCGTGTGTTGCTTTAATGACTCTTTTTGCAAAGTGGTAAACAACATTGTAAGCATCGGACAGTATTTGTTTTGGATTAATTAATTTTTTTTATAATATGAACAGTCTGTTTTGAAGCGTTACGACTTCTATTCCTTGTTTCTTGGTCACTTTGTTGCTGTAGTTGTTGTTGTTGTTGTTTTTATAGCTAATGCTGTTGCTGTTGTGGTCAACTGCTCGTTTCTTTCTTGCATGAACTGTTCACGTCTTCCCTGCTTTGTTTTCTCTCATTTTACGACTCAAGATTTATGATTTTATAATATGTATTTCGATTTTGTTTTGCACGGCATTGGCAGAACAGTGTTATATAACAACTACGCCGACCTCCTCGCCATCTCAAGTCGTTTGTCTTTCTGTTTTTCGCCTGTCATCCTTAACTAAAGTGTCTTTATTCATTAAAAAGAGTCACTTCCTATATACTGAAAGGAAAGCCACTTACTATTTCCTGTGCATGTAATTTCGGCGACAAAAAGAAAAGGAATAAACGATAATAAGTTGCATTGAAACCTGTCCCTTACGCCGGCGCGCGACGTCTCTTTATAGACAAGCCTGTTGTTTTTAAACGTAACTCAGATGGTATCATAAAAGTGACATAAAACTTAGAATCGAGAGCTTTCCTTGCCTTGTCATTTTAGAAAGAAARATTCCGATGTTTTTTTGTACTTGTCCTTGAGCTTGGTGTTTCTTATATAGCTATTCAAGAAAGGTTGTCGAATAAAATGGCGAATGTCAATGGTCAAACGGCGATTGCACGACCGCAAGCAGCCATGGGTTTTGCTTGGTGAAATGATATAACAACTGATTTGTACTGTAAGATGATGGACTGTGGTAAACATTGGCTCCATTGAGCCACCATTTCTATCTAAGGTGAATCCAATATGTGAAATTTTGTTTATCAAAACAGTGTAAACATAGTCCCTTTCGGTCGTGCAATCTCCCTTCGACAATCACSGTTCGCCGTTCTCCCCGACAACGTTTTTTGAAATAGCTGTATTTTGCACTTATGCTTACGCGTATGTTGACGCCTTATGTCATATTTGCTTTTATCATATAATTATCTATGAAATACCTATATTTCTCCATTACGTAAAATTGATATTTTCACCAGTGATAAAATCCGTATCTCCGCGCGCCCAAGTAATATCCTCTATGTGACTACGCTTCCGTTTATGTTTTTTTCATTTTGAATGCTTTGTGCTTATGATTATTTATCAGTATCACTATACATCCGGTCCTTTGCCGAATGATGAACACTTTGCTATAACCCTCCGGTGTCGGAAAGACAGAAGTAGAATTTTATATCAAAAAATAYCTAAAGATGGTCATGGATCWYCAAATRATCCGGGAGGCCACTGGCGTGTGGACAAAATAAGGTAATTGTCTATTAGGCACRTGGTTTATATTTGAAATATTGCATTATACAACTACAGCTCCTCAAAGCTATAAGCCTATAAATTTTTAAAATCTAATTTCCTGATAAATGGGTTYTCTCTAGGTAAAGCTGTAATTTCACACATACCATCACACTTACAAAACACACTAGATTCTGATATTAGGATTGTGTCAAATGAAGCATTGGCTGGATATATATGATACATCCGTTTCTCACCCCTCCAAATCCCCGAATTTCCCTGTAAGGTGGGGGGGCAGGGAATTAGTCTTCAGCATCTTCAGGGGTGGAGGCTTCTTTTGATACAATCCTAATATCCCGCATCATGTTGCTAACGGGTAAATTTTATACGTTTAACTCCGTCGATTCTAAATTGGAAAGAAAACCTAGGAATCGTGCTCTACAATAGCCGACTTTAGATATTTTGGTTCAGTGACCATGCACAAAAGAATTGCAGACGAGGCTCCGGGGAAATAAAAGAATTACTCAAGATTATCCATTGTTTTCCCGGAGCCTCGTGTGCGTTGTTTTGTACATAGTCATCGAACCAAAATATCCAAAGTTGGCTATTTACCACATATCGTTGATTATTCGCACTATATCTTAAACAAGTTTTTACAGCACATTGATTTTTTCATGCAAACGTGATAATAAAGGAATTCCTCCTTCATGTCTCGCCAAGAATTAATTAAATATATGTCGCGTTCTTTTTGAAAAAMAASCCGACGAGTAATTGTATAGCTGTTATTTATTTATTTAACTACTTTTTTCAGAGTTTTAATCAGTATTTCTTGTTATGGAATCTGTTTTTTGCATGCTCCAAACCGCTTCGAGGTGTGGGATTTACACCAGTCATTTTGAATCTTGTAAAGTCTTGAGTAAAGCAATGAATGCGAGTCAAATCAAGATGGTGGATCATAAATGTCCGAACAAAGATGGCGGATCCAAGATGGCCGAACATGCAAATGGTTGTAATCCGCAGAATGATTTTTAGTGGTATTACGAGCTAGAATGGCTAGCCGACTGACGCCAACATCTGTGACTAGAATTCAGCGATTCAAGATAATAAAACTCATGACAAGAGATACCGGTCAYAAAACAATAATTTCATTTTCTGATTTCATAGCAAAGCAACACCTGTGCTAAATTTCTATCAGCAGTGTTATCCATAATATTGCATTTAGTTGTGCGCATTTTAATTCTGGAGAGTTTAAGAAGTATTAGGAAATTAGGCCCACTAAAATCACTATATCTTCGCTAAAAACTCGAGGTTAAGTCTGCATTATTTCATTCATAAACTGATATCATTTGATCACTTAGCGTTGATATAGTTTCAACAATATTTTGGCCTAAAGAAGGACATATTAAAGCTCAAAAGAATATCACAAATCAAAATTAGTTTTAAATTGAACTTTTTTTTTGAATTGGATTATTATGAAATTCTGAAAGACCCCCRGGGTTTCTAAATTATAGCTTAGCTGTAATCGTATTATTATCAAAATACGCAATTCATTGTATGTTTATGAGCGAATCAGTTGATGAAAAAATATCGTACACAGCATGTAAATGAGCGAAATTTGATGGAAACAATACGTTATTAAACTTTTAAATCGATTGAATGRCAGAAAACTGCATGAAACCACGTAAATACTAAAAMGTTTTAACTGAAAATTGCGTTCGTGCACATGGAAAATGCATCGTCAAAAAGAACTACTTTTAACACTACACTGAAAAACCTTGTTTAAATAGTTTTTTCGCTGATAAATTTGCTTATGACTATACATTGCTTTGAAGACAAACTTGAAACATGCACAGACTGATACTCATTAAATAATTCTTCATATCCATAATAAAATTCATCCAATATTTACTTAGTCGAATATTACATATGTGGGATATTAGACATGTTTTCAGTTCAAATGCTATAATCAGTCCTGTATAGCTATACTCATTTCGTTTTTTTTTTTCAATGATGATTTCAATTTTGGTTACATYGCTTTAAGATGATTCGACTTCTAGAGCCGTGCTATTATTCTTAAAACTTTAATACTATGGAGAATCCAGAACTGCCAGATTACGTTTTACTTGTCCACGTTGTTCAGARAAGAAAAATAATCACATGAAAATTTCGTTGTAAACCCATATATAAAGCATATTTTTTATGATTCTATTAATTTTGTGGCTTTATTTTCAGAAAACTGAAGTGCATATCTTTTGAAACAATAGAGAAAAAAAAGTACTTTCAGCTCAGGTACAAGAGGTTGACTTATATCAAGTCAGATTAAAAGAAACATTCTTATAAATGTCAAAAGATAGGCTTATAATTATAATGTTTTAGAATTCTCGATTATAGCTAAGTGGAATACTCATGAAACTCAATCAAATGATAAGTAAGGGAAAGTTAGATTGAAAAAAAACCCAGTCTATCCAGCTTCCTGCTTCAGATTCCAAAAGAGGAAGATAGAAATGGAGAAAGAAAGAAATATAAAAACATCTAGAAATAACGTGAATTTTTGAAACAATTGTTGACATTCCTTCCTGACCTAAGAAATCAAAACTCACTTGTATATCATGTATATTTTTCATTTCCATTTTTTTTCTCTGACATATTTTTGTCAATAAAAATACGATAAACTTCATTGTTTTTTCTTTTAGTAACCATACCTGTATATTCTATAATAACTCTGTGAGATAACTACAAGTGGAAASACAAATCCCAGCGCCATGAGCGCAATGTTGTAGGACATCGCTTGAGCACTCTTTGATACCCAATCAGGAGAACAACTGATCCCAGCCGAACCTGGCACAAACTTGCTCCAGCCAAAAACTGGTGGAACCATGACAACAATCCCATATACCCAAGAACCAGCAATGGAGAATACTTGTAGCTTAGTAGAAAACTTTTTAAGCTCTGGAGATATAGTCTTAGTTATTGTATAACACATTACCACACTTATTTCAGTTAATGTTGCAATAGAAGCAATACCAACAGACCCATTGACAAAAGCGGACCACGTACACTTTGCCGTACCCGCAATGATCTTGCGAGTGGATAAGTTAGCGCTCACAGCTACCGGGTATCCGAAAACGATGATAAAGAGATCCGCAGCGGCTAAGTTGATAATATAAGGTGAAATGATTTGAGAACGACGCTGTTTTCGTCGAAAGACGACGATTGTAAACACGTTACCAACAAARCCGACTGTTAAAATGAMGAACATGACAGAACCATATACRTATCTGTCCACAGATCGTGAAACACTCATGTTTCCTTCGATAGAGCTTCCATTTATAGTGTTGTTTTTGAAATCACAGCAGTACTGTGGCATCTTTTCTAACCGCATCTTACGAGCGATCGGAATATTCGCACTCTATGATGTGCATGAAAAAGAACGTGGTCTTTCACTTTAAGAGAGCCACTTTAGTCTTGCCAGTATACAGAGAGCCTGAGAATGGGCCGGGGGGTGGAAGCTAACTGATACTTAGCCTAAAAGCTCTTAGGAAATGTAATATAATAATCCAGTCATCTAGCTTTGAATACTCTCCGGTTATTGACACAATTGATAAGCACAAGTACGCCTGAAGCTATTCACAGTAAATAATTGTTATTAATTCAACCAATGTGTGACAGACCTGTTTAAAAATAATTCCTTGCCGGCGCTAAA